CACTGGCCTCCAAACTGCACTTGGACCCTGAGGGGATGCCTGTTCTCCCATGGGTCAGAGAGGTTCTGGTGGGCATCACCACCAGGTTGCATCCTCACTACAAAGAAAGAGAATACAGGCTGGCCTGTATGTGTGGCCTCTGGATAAAAGGCAGCATTGCTCTCTAGAATGCAGAGCTCATGCAATGGAAGTGTGAGCTCTCCAAAGAAGTGTGGAGGCTACAGGCCGGCAGACATGGCCAGAGGGAACAGCGGTTGAAAGAGGCTGGGGGGGGGGAGCTGCCACAGCCCAGCAACTCTACTGGTTGTCACTGGTGGACAGGGAGATCAACAGTGGTGGGGATGCCAGGCATACCATGGTGAATGATTCAGCAGAGGCGATTATGAGTGTATCTCACTGAGTCCCCGAGCCCATCTCCACCAATCCCCTGTAGTACTGATCACACAAGGCTGCCGTCGGGCCCGGCCTCTCTGGTGTGGCCATGAGTCCCCTCTCCTGCTCTCCCACCAGTGTCCAGAGTGAGTGGGTGTTCTTGGGAGACATTCTCAACCCCCACCGCTCCCACCTGGTCCTGGCCAGGGTGGACGAGTTGGCCTTCCACAAGGTCAACCTCTCCCTGCTGGGCTACCCTTTCTGGACTTCACAGGGTAATATCCTGGCCTCTTGTTGTCCCCCTGCATGTCCCGCCTTTCCTCCTCCTCTCTGGGTGATCCAGCATGTGGGTTGCACCCTTGGCGCTTGGGTAGGAGGATGGCCACCTCTTCTGGGGGGCTGTGAATGTTGGGGGGATCCTTGCCTTGCTTCCAGTGTCTGGCTTGGGGGAGGTCTGCCCAGGTGAAGTTTCCCTTTGAGTTTGGTGTCACTGACTTTTTCCTGAGCCGTTTCATAGACTCCTTTAACTGCCGCTGACTTTTCCAGAAAGAGTACTGGGGAGACCTTTTTTTGGGGGGGAGCATTACTGCCATCTCCAGAAATGCAATGCAACCCCCCCAAAAAAAAAAACTTGGGAGAGACAGTAGAAGACCAGGCAGCAGGGTGAGGTTTCCTGTGCATTTGGTGTGTGTAGCTTGCAGGGGGTCCATTCTATATACTTTTGAATCTGTGCCTGACATTTCCCCTAAAAGCACTTTCCTGGTTTGACCTTAGTCCTGTTGGGTTTGCATTGCCACAGTAGCACTTGTTCTGCTGGGTACATTGCGCTGGTTCTGCTGGGCTTGCAAAAATACCCCCTACCTTCAGTTTCTACTGAGAGATTCTCTGTTTTGACCGTAGTCCATTGGAAACAATAGAGGAGGAGGGCATCTTCTTTGGGGGGGGGGGGTAATTCAGACCCCGTAAACCCAATCCTCCCCAAACTTGGAGGGCAGGTAGAGGAGAGTCAGACAAAGATCTGCTGTGGGTTTGGGGTCTCTAGCTTGCGCAGAATTGGTTCTATACATTCCTGAACTTCATGAACCTGCGCCTGTCATTTCCCCAGAAAGCATTTCTTTGGGGTGCCATAACTCAGACATCATAAATCCAATCCTCACCAAAACTTGGGCAGGTAGAAGATAGTCAGCTGGAGGTCCCCTGTGAGTTTGGTGTCTGTAGCACACTGTGGGGATGTTCTACTACATCACAGACTTCACTAACTGAAGTGGTTCATTTAGCATCAAAAAAGTTGATGACAGTCCACGGTTCATGAATTACGCACGCCACAAGCCATGAACTGAACTGCATTTTCCCAGTTCGTGCCCATCCCTGTCTTCTTTTATCTCCCAAAATATTAATTTCCAGAATTCAGCCTCTATGGCAGTTCGTATAGCAATGGCCATTAGCATTTTTTGTTGTTCAGTCGCATAGTCAGGTCTGACTATTCGCGACCCCATGGACCACATCACAACAAGCCCTCCTGTCTTCTGCCATCCTCCGGAGTTTGCTCAATTTCATGTTTGTTGCATTGGTAACCAGGGGTCTTGTTGTAGAAAAAGAGCTGCCGGAGCTCATTAGCATAACTCATTAGCATAACTTATTTGCATATGCCACGCCCCCTGACATCACCGGAAGTGACAGAAGGCCACACCCCCTGACATCACCGGAAGTGTGTCAGAAGGCCCGGCTACTTACCCTCCTGCTTCATCCTCATTCCCAAACGGAATGAGGATCGAAGCAGAGGGCGGGGTAAAGAAGAGGGCGGGGTAAAGAAGGGGGCGGGGCTTCACCACGTGACCGCCCCGCCCCCTAGAGGTTCTCTTCCGGAGCTCCGTACCTGAGAGCTCCCCCCCGACTAGAGCCCTGTTGGTAACACTGTCTAACCATCTCATCCTTTGCCATCCCCTTCTTCTTTTACCTTCAGTCTTTCCCAACATCAGAGTCTTCTCCAGTGAGTGCTCCCTTCTCATTTGGTGGCCAAAGTATTTGAGCTTCAGCTTCAGTATTTGGCCTTCCAGGGAACAGTCAGGGTTGATTTCCTTTAGGACTGACTGATTTGATCTCCTTGCAGTCCATTAGCATGGGTAGCTTTAAAACAGAGAACAGAACCATAAATAGCTTTCACCTATGATGGTTAATGGAACCTCCATGCTGAGAATTCATAGAACAGAGGAACACCAGTGGGGGGGGGGGGCAGGAGGCGACATCAGTGTGAGACTCTAGCTTTTGTGTTTGTGGATGCTGGACTAGATGGGCTGTGGGTCTGATCCACCAGTTCAATAGGTACCCACACATATGGCTTGCTCCAGTTTCAATCAGTTTGCAGTGGTAAACTGCTGGGCCTACAGAATCTGAAAACGCAGGCCCTATTCACAGGCACACTCTAAAGTGTGGGTGAATTCGCCTGTCACTTGGATACGCCTTAATAATTGTTCCCTGCAGTCTTCTGCACCTTTGGAGAAACAGGGGGGGAAACCTGAGCATTTGGTTGCAATCCCAAGCAAACTCACAGAAGCTCCCTTTCCGCCTTTGCCAAAGAGAATACCCAGTGACTACCGTTCCGAAGGAGGGGAGCGCATCCGAGTCTTGTCCCTCCTCCCACCCCTATTCTGCCAAGTGCAATAACAATGCAGTCATCATTGAGAGAGGAAAAAAGAGAGAGCGTGGAAAGCAGGCGCGTTGAGAGAGGCAGCCTCGATGCTGCTGGATCTCAGGCCGCCCTCTTGCTCGCTCCGGGGGCAGCTCGGAGGACTCTGCCGGCTCCGCGTCGCAACAGAAGCATGCTCCTCTTCTAGCCGCTCTTCTGGCTGGGGAGGCGGCCTGGCCCTCACTGAGCCGCCGCCGCCGGCGGCAACGGCTGCTGCTACTGCGTTACTGGGAGAGAGATTGTGCCGCTGCGACAGGAGAAGACGAGGCTAGGAACTCGAGGAGGCTGACTGAGCATGCGCCGGCGGAGCCCACAGACTACAGCGCCTCAGTCAAGGTAGCCAGGGAAATAAATAAATAAATAAAGGCAGGAGGAGGGGGGGGGGACCAGAAATTTATAGAAAGAAGCTGTTCTGATGAAGGGGGGGCTCTCCAGCACCAACAGGTATGGGGGGGGATGTTTGGAGTGGGGGGAGAAGGGGCTTGGCTGTAGAGAGAGACAAGACTGGGGAGATGGAGAGAGGTCTGCCAATGCCAGACCACCACCACCCCGGAGGGGTTAAAATTATTTTTCTTTTTCAAAAATAATAAGCTGCATAATTGTAAGCAGGCAATTTTAGGCACGGCGGGTCTCTTGCAAGTCCACAAAAATAAAATAATTTTAAAAATGGAGCTGCTTCAAGGGGGCTTGCAACATAGAAAGGCAGTCCTTTCTGTCTGCTATCGTCTCTATGTATGTGCATGTAAATGGAGGACCGTTTCGTGGCGGCGGGGGGGGGGTTCTTCCCTGTTTGTTGCTGGGTGCGCGCACACACACAAAACAACGCTGTCATGATCTGATCTGGCTCTTGTTTACACAGCAGCAGCAACTCAGGCGGGTCCTGAAAGATAAGAATGGTGGCAGGGGCTTCTGCTCGAAGCCATTGTGAAGATGGTGTGTAGTCCTGAGAAGGGGATAGCATCAGGAGAAACACTCCAGGAGGAGAGACGAGCCTCCTACCTGATCCTGCCCAGAGCGGAGTTCTCCCCTTCGGTAGATCCCTGAAAGCAGCTGAGTCTATTTTATTTTCTTTGTTAGTGACGTTTGGACGGGCAGCATTAGGAGAAAACCTGGAGCTCTCTTTCTCCCCCACCCCCCGCCCCGTTTCTCCTACCCTCCCACCGAAAGGATCCTTGTAGTCTATGCCAGTCCCAGCAGTGTCTGAGTTGAGTGGCTATTATTCCCGGGTGTGTTTCCTATTTTTAAAATTAGCTTGCATTATGGTTTGTGTCTGCCCCCCCCCCCGTTGCAATATAGAAAGCTAGGGCGGGCAACTATTTTGCATAGATTTCTTAATGTTTTTCCTCCAAAGTCTAGAGTGGGGAGGGGAGCCTGGTTCTCAGAAAGGAAGATTCCTGTTGTTTCTTTTCAATGTGGAAGAACTAGCAGGGTGTGATCAATATGCTTTGGTGAGTTGGTTAAAAAACATACATTCTGCAGGGTTTCTTTTGGATGTGTTCCATATCAACACAGCATCTGCCTCTGAAACCATATCATATCAACATCGGGGGGGGGGGCATTTTATCAGAGTAATCAACAGTCTTCCTTTGGTGTTTTATTTTCTAAGGTTCCAGTTCTGGAATGATAGTATAAGAATCAGGTTATTTTTCAAAGCCTCAAAGGCAGATACAGTACAGTGATGTCTTTTGCCAAGGATTTGATTGTAAACAAGACTGATCTGGGGGGTTCGGGGGGGGGAATTAAAAACATTGCATAGTATGTGTGCAGTTTTCACTGAATTTCCCTCAAACAAATAATAGTACTCCAACTTCCTCTAGCTCTCCATAAATTATCATGTTGGTTAGCACTTGCTGGCATCATTTATGTGTTAACTTCAGGACTGATAGCTTGGTTTTTCTTTTTTCCAGATTTTTTTTGATGGCATGACAAATCGTACAATGTAACTAGGCACCAGATCAATTCAGCTTATGGAATACATTTTCATTAAGATGTATGGATCTATTTTTCCCTTGTTCATATATATAGATCATGAGACTTGACTGAGGCAATATTCATAGCATCCATCCATCTATGGCGAACTACAGCCATGCAGCTGACAACATTTTACAAAATCTATCCCCTTTAACAGCATTTTTGAAACTGACTTCTCTGGGTTTCATCATAGGAGTCAGTGTGGTGGGAAACCTCCTGATCTCCATTTTGCTTGTCAAAGATAAGACCTTGCATAGAGCGCCCTACTACTTCCTGTTGGATCTTTGCTGCTCAGACATCCTCCGATCTGCCATTTGTTTCCCATTTGTTTTCACATCGGTGAAAAACGGCTCTTCTTGGACGTACGGGACTCTCACTTGTAAAGTAATTGCCTTCTTGGGGGTCCTATCCTGTTTCCACACCGCTTTCATGCTGTTCTGCATAAGTGTCACCAGATACTTAGCGATTGCCCACCACCGCTTTTATACAAAAAGGCTGACCTTTTGGACTTGCTTGGCAGTTATTTGTATGGTGTGGACCCTATCAGTAGCGATGGCTTTCCCTCCCGTTTTGGACGTGGGTACCTACTCGTTCATTCGGGAGGAAGACCAATGCACCTTTCAGCATCGTTCCTTCAGAGCCAATGATTCTCTGGGATTTATGCTGCTTCTCGCTCTTATCCTTCTAGCCACGCAGCTTGTCTACCTCAAGCTGATCTTTTTTGTTCACGATCGCCGGAAAATGAAGCCAGTTCAGTTTGTGGCAGCGGTGAGCCAGAACTGGACGTTTCATGGTCCTGGAGCCAGTGGTCAAGCAGCTGCTAACTGGCTGGCAGGATTTGGAAGGGGTCCCACACCACCTACCTTGCTGGGAATCAGGCAGAATGCCAACACCACGGGCAGGAGAAGGCTACTTGTCTTGGATGAGTTCAAAATGGAAAAGCGCATTAGTAGAATGTTCTATATCATGACATTCCTCTTTCTAACCTTGTGGGGTCCCTACCTGGTAGCCTGTTACTGGAGAGTTTTTGCAAGAGGGCCTGTGGTTCCAGGGGGATTTCTAACGGCTGCTGTTTGGATGAGTTTTGCCCAAGCTGGAATCAATCCTTTTGTCTGCATTTTCTCCAACAGGGAGCTGAGGCGCTGTTTCAGCACAACCCTTCTTTACTGCAGAAAATCCAGGTTACCAAGGGAACCTTACTGTGTTATATGAGGGAGCATCTGTAAATCTTTAGCCTTGTGAAAACACTACCCTTCTCTGCTAAGCAATGGTGGCCTGTTGCCATATCTTGAGAAGAAAAAAAATCAAGAATGGGATGTCAGCAGTTGTAAGGATTTGGGCAACAACGTTCTGCAGTCTTTGCAATAGCTCATCTCTTAATCCTATCTTAAAACCTAAACTTGTTCATGCTGACCACTCGTGAAGGTTTGTAATTAAAAGAATACAGGACTGAACCACTGCCCTAAAAATGCTTTTTGATGTGGTTGAAACTTAGGGAATGATTCAGAGAGTAGCAGGTGCTAAATATATCAGCACTAAATGCTGTATATGTCACTATGTAAAAGTAAGACCATCATGAAAAGATTAGCAGTGGACATCTGAATCAGTTAAGTTTGACATGAGGTTAATGTGTTGATGAAACTAATTTTAGACACTGGATGACCTTTAAATCATTTCATACCATTATTATTTTGCAAAGACTAACATTTGGGAACCATGTTCAGGTCCTGTAACTGATGGGAGATGTGCCATGTAAGACTGGATTATCACCTCCACTCTGTTTGCCTTGTGAGTTCTGGGGAGCATTCCAAAGCAGTGTTTTCTTCTTCTTCTTCGTTGTTCCAATAAGTCTTTATTTTTCTCTGAGTCTGTTTCCCCCTTTTTTATTATTAAATAACTTTTTTCTTTCAAAATGAAGGAAAAATTACTGGCATTTAATTGTGTTCTGTGCTTTATTTATTTTTTAAAAAATTTGTTCTTCTGATTTGCTATTATATCTATTGGCTACATTTATATTTTCAAAAGCTAGATACCAGTCTGTTAGGCAACATCAATGAGATTATCCAATCATAACAACAGAGTAGTCAGTACACAGAATAAACCACATGTTGCCTTAAAGGGTTATCTAGTATCTTCCATTTTGTTTAGCATTTTAGCAAATAAGCAAAAGAAAACGGAATCTGTCGACTCCAGTCTGTCATTTGGGAGTGCATGAAAGATCACTTGACCCACCCACCCCCTTTCATTTTTATTCCCATGATTCCCCTAATCAGTATGCTCATCACTAGGATGATCTGATTTTTTTCTCTCTCTAGGTGTGCTGCCCATTCTAGTTTGTTCTGATAAATACAGGCAGTCAATGTATGTTTATATTTTAAGACAGCTGTCATGGGGAGAGACCGCAGCCTTAGTAAGATATCTTGCACAATTTGTGAAGCATTTATTCTACTGAAGGCACAGTCTTGTTTATACTTTCTGCACATTTTGGTGTATTGGTTGTTTCCAATTATTTCAATTTTAACTTGTGAAAGCATATAATATGATTTCTAGTATTTTAGAAATACATTAGAGTCTGTGAGTCTTTCCTTCTTTAAGATACAGATGTGTGGATTTCAATATAAAGTTGCATTTGCCAAAATTTACCTGTGTAGCCTGTTAATTTTCTTGGAATAAAATTTTACATTTTTCCAGTTATACAACAAACCCTTTATTATGATTATTATTACTATTATTTTGTTTAGTGAGCATGAATTACTGAGAATGTAGCCATTATGGATTATTATTCTTTGAAGTCACTGTATTCCCAAACTGTAAATGCATGAATGATGGGGACCACAGGATTGATAAATGATATTCTTGACAATAGCACTGTTGTGTAGTTTATCATAATTACCCTGCTATCTATTTGAATATGTCAGTTCTACTTAGAGGTGCAATATTTGACATTCATGCCACAGTATTGTTTTAAATGGAGCTGAAGAACACCATCATGATTCCCAAAAGAAAAATTTAACATCTAAAGGGAAAGACTTGCTCCCCATTAATTTTGGTATGCTCTCTCTTTCACTATAGTGCTACAACTAGTGATTCCCCATTCAGTAATACATGAGAAGCAGCTACTACCAGAACTATTCTAAACATAGATCAAGATGGGTAGCCGTCTTTGTCTGTAGCAGAGTAGAAAAGAGCTCTAAACATAGATGATGAGTCGTTCTTCATTTTAACAGCCAAAGTAGTGTTGCTCCTGTCTATGAATCAAAATAATTTTTTCAAACATTTTGGGGGAAATTTTGATTCCATTGATGCTCATAGTTAGTTTTTCAACTTGACCGCAGTTGTACTTCACACTGATTGTTGATGGGTTCAAAGGCTAAATTTGTCATGCTGTGTAGAAGCACTGCAATAATTAATCTTCATGAATGCAAAAACATTTCAGGCCATAATCCCTTTCAGACTTGAAATTAATGAAATCAGTCAAACTGACTGGTCCGCATACTAGATAATATGAAATTGTTGGTATGAGTCTGATTTTAATTTTACAGAAATTATTAACTTGAATGTGATTGATATTTCAGTTCCTAAAATATGCAGCCCTCTTCTTTCATGGCTTCTTTCCTATATGCACATGTTAAAATCCTAGATATATCTATACACAACAATATATGTTAAGGTCGAGTATGTGTCCCTTTTACCATGTGCCTATAGACAGGGAAAGCTAATCACAGCATGATAAAGGAAACATATGTGCTATCTTTCTTGCACATAAGGAATTTGTTTTGCTTGACGGTAACATTAGATTATAACTTTTTTTTCTTTACCTGTATAGGGAAAAGTAAAGTGTAAAATGACAGTGTGCTACTGGTTGATGAGACAGGTTTATGAATCCATCTATAGGTTAGCAAAATTATTTTTCATTTAATGTACTAAAAACAGGATTGAAAGTTATTCTAGGATGTATTGGTGACTAAGACTTAGAAACTAGCATGAGTGGAGTGACACTCATTAAGTGAGCTTTCCTGCCTCCTCCTTGCCTGCCAGCCCCCCCAACTGTACCCCCTAGGGTTCATGGAACCCACAGCATGGGGGTGAAATAAGGTGAGAAGTAGAAAGGGGGACTAGCAAAAATCACACACACACCCTGTGTGTCATTGGCAGAATTAATTCTCACCAGCAACAACATGGTTAGGATCTGAACAAATCTTCAGTTCAATAGTTACCTTCCTAAAATAAAGATCAACACAACCACAATCCTTATAGGAGATATGACGATGCTGAAGGATCAAATGCCCAATAGTCAAACATTTATCTTCTCCATGAGTGTTGCACTTTGCAATGAATATCAGAGAATGGGACCCTACAACTTTGTTTTGTATAGTTTGGGAATATGAAGTAGGTACTGTTTCCATTTATTCCATTTTGCAAAAAAATATATATATTATGACAATTAATAAGAGAAGGTAAAAAATTTAAAGTAAAATTTATTTCCTTTTTTGCATGTGTCTGGACAAGTTTTGCTTTTATTTTGCTCCCAAGGTAAAGGGACCGAAAGAGTACTGAATGAAATTAAAAGGCAACACATGAAATATTGTAAATAATTTATTGCTACTTTTTATGTAAAATGTACTCGGATGCAAAATTATTCAGGGACCTTTAAAACAGTTCCCAAACAGATTATATGCTTACATGGATTAAAATGGTATATAGGAATAGCTGTTATAGTTTGGTGCAATGCCCTGTGCATAAATGGATGGCGGTCAAGAAGAAAAATTTTATTCTGTTGTTGCAGTACTGCTTTGTTGCAATGGAAGTTTTTTATATTTTGTTATAACAATGGGATGTTGACAAATGACAGCCAAGGAAGTGACACATTTTGTTCCAGTTTGGCATTTAATTGTATCTCCATATGTCAGAATTCACCATTTTGTTTTCTTCTGCTTTAACCTAACATTAGAGTTCTGAAATACTGCATGATAGTACCTCCTAGACCATACTACATCTCACTGGGGGAAAGGGTGGCTGTTTTATGTCTAAATGTAAAACCTCCTTACATACACAAGGTGAGCATGCTGCACAGCGTATTACTGAATGTGTAATTTTCCTGCTACCAAATTCAGTAATTTTAATATATCTAACTACTAAGCAATGAAAGGCAAGATGAGTAATAACTCTGCTAGATTTTTTAAAAAGTCTGTGTACCTGCTCCATTGGTCCCCATAGCTTTTTTCTTCTGACTTTGGCTTACCTTCGTTCAACTCTAATATTTTCCATCCCTGTTTTGTTATCACAGTCTTCCTTTAGGAGTCCTGATGGCTGTTTTCTTCGAACAGCTACTTTCCTCTAACAGCCTCTCAGTTGGTGGGTTGTACCCATCATAGACATGGCAGTCACTTGTACTTTCATCCCTCATGCCTGACAAACAATCTCAAGTCCATTTTGTATTATATATTATCTACCAAACATACAATGTGTAGCTCAAGCAAGTCATATGTGCATGATGACTCTGCACTATTGTTATATGATTTTTTAAAATATGAAATTAAGTTAGTCTAGCTTTTAATTGATTAAGCAATCAGTAAGTTTAAATAGATTGAAAAACTATTCTATCCTGATGTATAGAAGTTTCTCTTCAGTGTGAAATAACATGTAAATTGACACAGAAATGCTACCATTCATTGTTAAAAGAAAACCCTGGCCTTTATCCAACCACACCATTAGGAACATTGAAGTGTCCTTAAGTTTTGTTAAGAGGTAGATGCGATTTTGCAGTGATTCCCTCTCCCTCTGCAGTCCATTAAGCCCCACTCCATTTTATTCCTGGGGGTCAGCAGACTGTTAGAAACGACCCAGTGGGGGTTTGCAGCAGGAGGGAGTTCATAAAAATTGTCTCCCATTAATAAAACATAAGTTCCCTTTTCTTAACAGGATGGATTTAGGCCATCATATTTAATATTTGCTTTTTCATCCAGTTTAGTTAAATCAGATAATCCCTACTGCAGTGACAAACTATAGCCACAATGGTTTCTCAAAATACATAGGCCCAAGAACTGGAACTATTCATTTCAGTCTCTTGTGGTTCTTAATGATCAGAAAAGAACACTGCATCATGATAAAGCCTTAAAGTTTGTTCTAATTAATTGAGAGGAATTTGATTTGCTATTAAAGCTATAACTTATTGATCTACCAATGAACCAATTATCAAAGAATAGTTTGATCATTAATTGATCGTGTGTCTATCATGAAACTAACTAAGGGTTGTCATGTGCATGGAAAGGCAAGGTGGCAAATGATTAATAGCTGAATAAGCAGTCCTATGGGCTGACAGATTTGGGGCTCATTTCATTTCACATTGGCTTGCTGCCTGATGATTGTAAAGTTGGGAAAGTCAAGCATGGTATCTACTTCATTGTATTCCATGTGACAAACAGGCAGAATAGAACCATTTTCAGAGGGAGACTGTGGAAGGGAGATCTTTCCCTAGAAGTTCAGTTTTCATTTTTTCAAACTACTAGTCCAT